GAAATTTAAAATAAAGTTTACACTATATCGGACAAAAAACTTTCGTTACACTCCCCCAATGTCCGGCACCTACTCAGGTCTCTGATTACAGTGTAGAGACTTCATTGTTGCGTCATACGAACAAACTTGGAATCCGCTTTCATTTGATCATAAATAAAGTTATGTTTTGTTAGATTTTGAGCTCGTCCAACACGCTATAAAACGAGTGATATCTGCTAATGCAGATAAGATCCTTCAGTCAGAAATTCTTTCCGAATGTCCGAGGAGAAAATGCCATTTGCGAATAGAAATATGCAACTTTGTATGCTCTTTCCAGCTAGCAGTATGAGAACGCTTGATAGTATTAGATAAGACCGGATTTCGCTGTTCTGGCGCCCCTAAAAACGTTTCAATTCAGAACTTATGACCGAGAAAGAACCGTGTTCGAAATAATTTCCATAATTTTCCATAGGGCAACAAGGGGTCTTACATACCTGTAGTAGTGCTCTCGATTGCATATAGGCAAACCTTCCCGGCTTTTAGCTCATGTAATACTGGACGGACCTTGCAGAAATACCCTTTGCTAGTTACATGACCCTAGTCGAGACTCCCGGCTAAACTCCAACGGGAGTCCCAAGTTTATGAAAAACTCCAGCAGGAATCGTAAGGAGTCTTGATGACTCTCGCAGGAACTTTCTAAAGTGAAAAGTCCAACATGCAGTCATGAGGAGTCCCCAAAAAATTCTTGCAGGAGTCCTGTCGAGAGTCCTGCTGGAGAAAGTCATGCATGGACTCCTACAGAACTCCTCAGAGAGCAGAATGTTTCTCTTATGACTCCCTCGACTAGAAATGTGTAGTCCCCGGGAGTCATCCTCACACTCCCCAACCTGTGCAATTCCCTTGAAGTCCTTGCCAACTCCCCATTCACCGTTTGTTTTGTAGATAGGCAATATATAAATATAATGTAGTTCTATGATAAAATTTTAAAAATTTTCTTCTAGTAAGTCAACATTAATGTGTCAACCTTCGATGGGTGATATGTGCTCCAGCGGTACCAGTGATAGTATCTAGCACTTAATTACTAATTAGTTACATGAAATTAAGAAGATGGATCAATAGACCCACAGGGAGTCCCCAGGGACTCTCTTGAAAATCCCCGAGAACTCCCCATGGACTTCGTTAAAAATCCCATAGAACTCCTGTGGGAGTCTTGAGGAATCCCTCTTGAATCCCTTAAAAATCCTCCATGACTCCACAGAGGATCCTGCTGGGGCCCGTGACAGGACTCCTGCTGACTCCTGTAGGACTTTTTTTCCAGGACTCCTGCGGGAGATTAATCAGGAGTCTCGACTAGGGGAAGCATTTCTTCTAATAATTGATTCAGAGTTGAAAAATCTAACCACAATCTTGTCTGAAAGTTCGGAAATTGTTTTTTTCAGAAAACTCAGTCCCGATGCCATGGCTAGCTTCAAACTTGAATGAACTGATCAATGTGTTCATATATTATTATATTCATATTTTTAATATTTTCTGAATGAGAAAATACGTTTTAAAGTCTGATCCAATCCAGATAAAACTATCGATATAGCTGATTCAACTTTTGAGACCGAACCGACTGTTGACTGTGTGGCTTTATACTGTTCGAGAGAGCAAAGGTGGCGCTACTTGACATCCGAGTATCTTTTTCTTAGTATACGTGAAATCTTCCCGTGTTTTTTATCTAATAACTAACACTTTACCTGGTCCGATCTTTATTTTTTTTATTTACGAAATGTTTTTGCATATTGAACGATTCAACCATTAACTGCAAACAAACCATAGCAAGTGGTAATAGCGGCTAGTAGAATGATTCTAATTTGCTTGTTTTAAGAATTTACTGATGTTGTTACTTTCTTTGTTAGGTTTGTCGACTCCAAAAGTTGTTGCGATTCCATTGCGTTGTCCTTCGTAATAATACGAACAACATTTCTGCTTGTGTTAGCTGCTTTCTTATTAATTATTTTATTATAGCTCGAAAAATCATGAAACAGATAGAGGTTTCGAATGGTGAAATATCTCTTTTGTATCTTTTTTGACTTGAAGCAAATTCTCTTGTTTTCCAAATGCATGCGTATTGATGATGTTGAAACTGAGTTTCCTTCATATGCAACGGACGCATTGTCTACGCTATCCGTGGCATTGCAAGGCGCAGAATAAAAGCATGGTAGCGAGCGACTCTTCCTCACGTCGAATCCATTTCATTAGAGCTTCTTTTGCTGTTTTATTTCGAAATTCTTGCACGACGAATATTGGTACCAGGAAATCTTATGGAACAATTTAAGATTAAACCGTAGAATGCTTGATTCCACTGTTTCTGCGTGAGTCTGTTACAACAATGAAGCTCTTGAAGCAACATACTAACTTAGGTAACATATTATCACCTGATTTTTTTACTCAAAGATTACTGTCCAATTTGTTATTATGCACAAAGTGGTTACCATTGCGGGCTCCGACACGAGTGGTGGTGCAGGCATTTTGGCCGACGTAAAAGTATTTCAAAAACATCGTTTATATCCGATGACTATTTTGACATCAATCGTAACTCAAACGTCCAGTGAGTGGAAACATGAAGTTCATCCAGTTGATATTATAATAATCGAGAAACAAATGGATACCGTATTTGATGGTATTGGTGGTATTGATGCAATTAAAACCGGTTTATTACCTACAACAGAGACGATTGAATGTGTTGCCCGAAAATTGTCTGTATTAGTCAAAGCTAAAAAGGTGAAGTATATAGTAATTGATCCTGTGATGAAATGCAAAGGTGATGAACAGAGTGAAAATGATCTACTAAATACAAAACAAATAGTTGATGCATATATAAAATATTTATTACCATTAGCTACAGTTGTCACACCCAATTTATTTGAAGCTGGGCAATTAGCAAAAACACAAACACCAACCACAGTCGATGATATGAAAAATGCAGCTAAAACAATATATGAGTATGGCGTTAAAAACGTGATTATCAAAGGTGGTGGCGATTCAAAAAAGTCAGTTAACTTGCTTTATGATGGAAAAAACTTTGATTTAATTGAAGGAGAATATGTTGATACAAAATGTACTCATGGAACTGGTTGTGTATTTAGCGCTTGTATAACAGCTCAGCTAGCAAATGGTAAAACAAATATTCAAGATGCTGTTAGGAGTGCGAAAGAATACGTGGCCAATGCACTGAAAAAAACATCGTTCAAAGTAAACGATCATGTTGGAACAATGACGCATGAATAAAAGCGATTAAGAAAGTTAATCACCACATATCCGAATTTCATTAAAGTTTTTTCTTCTGTATTTAATAAAGGCTTTCTCTGATATTCGCTTTTCCGAAACTTTTGATTGTATTGCTTTCTTGCAGCAGTTAATTTCCAGTCATTTTTTCTTTTATTTTATTGCAATATTTTCATACGATGGTTTTAAACCTTTCACTTTATTGCATCATTCGTTGTCTCGTATGATAAAAATATTTAATCACTAGTCTTTTACTTGAAAGTTTGATTTATTCTAAGTGACAATTCGTGTCGAACACTTATCTGGATACTCTACTATTTTGAATGGGACAATGAAATCTTTGTGCATATCAAAGGACTATCTTTTATTGATTCTGATTTTATTGATCTGATTTGCTAGTAAAATGCTCGACTGCTATTAGGTTTTTAAACAGTCAATTAATTTAAGCTTACATTAGTGCGAATTTTGTTCAGACGAGAAAACTATTGTTGGATAGAGAAACGTGTAGGAAACACTTTAACGAAATTGAATGTTTGCTTATGTCCTGTCTAATTTTTTATGAAATCCTTTAGATTCTCGACGTAGTTAAATAAAAATAATGGCTATGCATGTTCCCAAAGCGCCAGGCTTTGCCTCGATGATGAAAGAAGGAGCAAGATATTCGCAAGGTAAATGTCTTTGCGACACTTTTCTATCTCTCAGTTAAACGATAGAGAATCTATTTTTGTCGTTCAGGTCTCGATGGAGCCGTTTATCGTAATATAAATGCTTGTAAAGAATTATGTGAAACAACGTCGAGTAGTTTTGGTCCCAATGGTTTAAATAAAATGGTTATTAATCACATTGAAAAATTATTTGTTACAAACGATGCTGCATCTATTTTGCGTGAAATTGATGTTGTTCATCCGGCCGCTAAAATTCTCACGTTAGCGAGTGAAATGCAAGAAAAAGAAGTGGGTGATGGTACAAATTATGTCATTTTGTTCGGTAGTAAATTGCTAGAAAACGCTGAAAATTTATTACGTATGGGTTTATCACAAAGTGAAATTATTGATGGTTATTTGTTAGCACTGGAAAAAACATTAGAAATATTACCAAAATTAGAATTAGATGTCGGTGTTAAATTAACAAAAGATAATCTGAATGAACATTCTCAATTAATAACAAAAGTCTTACAAACCTCGATTGGTAGTAAATTATTTGGCTATCATGAATTTTTAGGTGATTTAGTAGCACAGGCTTGTTTAACTGTATCCAGAGCATTCGATGACGGTGTGCATAGTTTTAACGTTGATAATGTGCGCATATGTAAAATATTGGGTGGTGGTTTGTTACAATCAACAATGGTATCCGGTATGGTTCTCAAACGTGAAGTCGATAGTGAAATAACAAAAGTACAACAGGCGAAAATAGCTGTTTTTAGTTGTCCGATTGATATACAAGTAACAGAAACAAAAGGTACCGTGTTACTGAAATCAGCTGATGAATTATTGTCATTTTCAAAAGACGAAGAAACCGGAATTGAATCAACAATAAAGGCGATACATGACTGCGGTATTAATGTTATTGTTAGTAGTGGTAAAATAGGTCAGTATTTTTTTACATCATCATTCTCTTGTTCTAATTTGTTTACTTTATGTTAGGTGAAATGGCGCTACATTTCTTAAATAAATATGAAATAATGGCCGTCCGTTTAATGTCAAAATTTGATTTACGTCGTGTCGCTAAAACAATTGGTGCTGTAGTTTTACCTAAATTACGTCCTGCAACTCACGAAGAAATGGGCTATTGTGATAGTATCTACCTAGATGAAATCGGTGATACATCAGTAATTGTATTCAAACATAAAAAGTCATCGATATCAACAATTATACTTCGTGGTTCAACCGAACAAGTTCTTGATGACTGTGAACGTGCTTTAGATGATGCCATCAATAATTTCAAAGCATTAACAAAAGAACAAATATTGTTACCGGGTGGTGGTGCAACAGAAATTGAATTAGCACAACAATTGACAGCATATGCACAAAAATGTCCAGGTATTGAACAGTATGCTATTAAACGTTTTGCTGAAACATTCGAATGTATACCAAAAATATTAGCAGAAAATTCTGGATGTAAAAGTACTGAAATATTAGCGAAATTATATGTTGGACATCAAGATAATCATAATCTTGGATTTTTAATCGCACGTAATCAATCAACGAAAAGAGAAGAACAAACAACAGACATCATCTGTGATGCATCTGATATGAAATTGAATGAATTATATGATTTGTATATTACAAAAAAATGGGCAGTAATGTATGGGACAAAAGCAGCATGTACCGTTTTAAGCGTCGATGAAATTATTTGTGCTAAACCAGCAGGTGGTCCGAAGCCAAAAGAGAATAAAGGATGGGATAATGATGATTAACCAGAATACATATAAGAACAAATAAATCAACAAAACAGTTACGTTTCACTTTTTAGGCGCATTTTTGTGTTTTTTTTGTTTTTAGTAAGAAAAGTTCTAATATTCGTCATGGATAAAATGTCCTCTTATCGATTAATGTCAATTAAAGAACGCCTTGTATCTGTGGAAGATATTTCTTTACTACTGGTATTTTCTTGCGTTTTTCTACCATAACACAAAATTTGAACATAGAATATGTATTATTTTGCCATTTAAAATGGTAGTTCAGCGTCCAAATAAGACGTTTCGAAGACATTAGTCCGAAAAGAAGTCATTCATCTAAGTATCGAGTATTAACTTTTTTTCTTCTGATTGCGTGTAGGCAAATTAAAAGAATGACTTACGTTTTTTTTGCTGTGTTTAATGTTTTTTTTATATGTGTGAATTGAACTGTATGTGTTTCTGCTAAAAAGCTTCTTTGTCCTTCACCGAACGTTTGTTACTATTATTTTTTTTAAACCGTTTACATAAAAATCCAAAATAACTTTACTACATTTATTTAATAACAGTGATCCTATTTGTTGTATGATTAACATTCCTTATTTCACATCGTTACTGATAGTGAATCTTTATTTATATTCTAGAGAAAAATAGCCAGAAGATGTCAACAGACGATAATGATGTTGAACAATCGATGAATGATGACTGTGTGACATGTGATGATTTACTAGATGCCATTGATAATGAAGAGCAAGAGTTAGATCAAGCAAGAGCGCTCTATGGCTCATGTGACGTTGACTCGTGTACTTATGCACAGGTGACTTTGACACAAGAACTAAATTGATTTGAACTATGGTCTATTTTCGTTTAGGGTTATGTTAAACGGCAAGCTCTGTTTGTTTGTATGACTTGTTATCGTAATAATTCTCAACAACAATTGGCCGGAATATGCGCAGCATGTGCTTATCATTGTCACAGCGACCACGAAATCAATGAACTATATACACGACGGTAGATTATAGATGTCATCTGTACCTTCTGCTTCCCACGTCATTGATTTTGACTCTTCTTTAGAAATTTTCGCTGTGATTGTGGTAATTCTAAATTTAATAATAATCAACCGTGTAAACTGAATCCGGTAAGACCACCAAAAATAAATCTTTTCAATTTATGCTGATTTTTGTTCATGTTTAAGAATAAAGAGGCTGAAAATACGTTGAATAAATATGATGATAATTTTCGTGGTCTTTATTGTACGTGTAAAAAACCCTATCCTGATGCTGGAGTAAGAGAAACAATGCCAGACGAATTATGAAAATACTAATAATTGTACGTTTTATTTCTAGATTCAAGATGAAATGTTACAATGTATGATTTGTGAAGACTGGTTACACTCTGGGGTAAAGCTTTGATTTTTTCTGAATTAGAAAAATTTTCATAAATGATTTTTGTTTTAGCATTTAGGAATACCGTTGCCAATGCAAGAGATTGATGTTGATCAATTAGATTTTGTCTGTCAATCGTGCGTCACAAAACATCCATTTCTTTCCTATTATAATGGTGAGAAATATCGATCAAAGTAATATCTTAATCGCTTTATTTTGATTTTTTTTAGAGTCAGATAGTGCTAGTAACATAGTAACAGCATCAAATACAGCAAGTAACACAGGTACACTCTTTCAAGTTTTGTTTTTCGAAAACAATTTGATATTTTTTCGTTTTTCATGTAGCGATTGAAAATGGTGATAATTATTGTTTGTTAGAACAAGCGAAAAAACAAGAACCAACCGATCATACACTTAATGCAATATTCTTTCATGATGGATGGCGCAAACGTCTTTGTCGTTGTAGTCAATGTTCGGTATGTTTTCTTTTCGCTTTAACTTTGAATAAAAATTTTTTTTGTTTTAGAAAATGTATGACGATTGTAATTTGACTCCTGTATTCGATGAAGAAGATGCAATTCAAGAATATGAACGTCAAGCATTTGAAAAAAGCGAAAATTTAGATCCAGACAAATTATTGGCTAATTCTTTACAGAAACTAGATCACGTAACAAAAATGGAAGTTCTCTACGGTAAGATATGATTCCTTAGACAAGAACTTGGAAATACATAAGTTGAGTTTTGTTGCTAAAATAAACAAAATCGAATCTATTCTAGGCATTAATGAGTTCAAGGAGTCACTTGGACAATTTTTACGAAATAAAGCAGATGGCTTGGTTACAGCTGCTGATATTCACACATTCTTTGGTGATCTTCAACAGAAACGTAAGGATCGCAATATAGCTCTACCAAATAAAAATTGTAAATATTAATCTAGTCATTTTTGTGTGTGAATCAGTAAATGTATTATACTTTTTCTGATATTGCAAATAAGAGGTTTTATTCTCAATTAGTGATGACTTGCTGAGAATGATGTAGTGTCTAAAATTGTACTTTTTGCCTAGCAAGACAACATGTCAGTTAGTGTTGTATATATGTAGCAAAAGATTTTGGCTAAAGTTCTATGTTTATTTTTACTCATATCATTTTGCTAGATAAATAATTACTTCTATTTTTTTCTGTATGTTCTCGTTGTTTTTATGTCAGATGAGTTCTACAGAATTGTCTATTTTGTTCTTTTTCATTTGTAAATAAAGGAACTATTATGTAACTTGGCCTATTTGAAACTTAATTTTTAATACTTTGTTAGTGACAGATCGTCAACCGTGATATAATAACGCTACTATCTGGTTTATTTTGTAGGAGACAAAAGAAAGTGAAACAAAAGTCAGTTTAAGAGCTACATTTGACGAAAATTGAAAAGAACTTGCCCACTCTCCATTCATATAAATGTACTGACCTGCAATTACTCACAATTTAACACAGTTCAATCCAACTGTAGTCGTGTCTTCAACTTTCATTTATTGAAAAGAAAACGCTTCTACACTTTCGTTTATAAATCTCAAACTCAGTGTATTTTACCATACATTTAGAAAAGAAACAAAATCCGCGAGATTTAACTGAACGAAAAAAAAAGAAAATAAAAAACCAGAAAGAAAAAAGTCTCAAGAACATATACTATTGCAACAAATATCATTCAAAGAGCTGTTCATAAACAAAGGGTCTAATTAAAGTTAATTGACAAACCAAAATACATTTAATCAATCAGTGTCATAAAACTGACATATGTAAAAAAGATAATAAATAGAATCCATTGAGATCATCTGTAGTAAACGAGACTCATAAATTTCATTCTTCTTTTTCTTTAAAAATGAGAAAGTGATGATTACATACAAACAAGGATAGATGTACAAAAGATATAAATACACACATTCTCTTGTAAAAATTGGTGAGCATTTGCTATACGTACAAAGAAAGGCATTACCTTTGTTTGTGGAATAAAAAAAAAAGAAAAAAATAGTTTCGAGTTGACGACAGAAGAGTTAATCTGACTTGATGCACGGTTTATAGAAAGGAGATACATAAATAAGACAGAGTACGTGGAAAAAACGAGTATATGTAGACATGAGTTTAACATAATAGGTCATTCTTTACTCATTTCATCATTCTCGAACACAAACAAAATCAACTGAACATGATTGTTTGATTTACTGAATTATCAGTACCATCATTACTAGCATCAGAATGGATGACTTCATATTGCACTTTATCTGGTATCTGAAGAAAATCTAAAATTAACAACATCTAAAGTCACTTCACACCAACATGGATGATGAGCACAATTACGAGATAAAACTAACTACTCAAGATCAGAGTAAAATAATTCAACTCGATAATTGAGAATACATCGCTCAACATCTTCACATTCTTAACACAGACATACTTTTCTCTTCTTTTTCATCAGCGACACTTTCTCTATAATTTTTATCTTGTTGTTGTTGATTATCATTATCATCCATTTCACTATTTTCATCACTACCATCTTGAGGCTGTTCTTCACTATCGTCGGATGATTGGGCATCAGTACCAAATGTTGTAAGAATGTCTCTAATTGCATCATAACCACAAAATAAATCAGTTTTTATTGATGACGAGTCATCATTAAAATGGATATTCTAAAAAAATGGTATACACATTAGATCGAACATTAAAACGGTTCGTTATATTTTTCTACCTGAATATGTTCGACAACATCTGATGGTACGATTGATGAATAGTTAGTGCAGAATGGACATTTTCGTTTTTGTCGTTTTTCTATCGTATTTTTGATAATTTCTGATATCGCTGAAAATAGAAAACAATACATGCCATTTCTCAATATCAATAATCGACTATTACCTATTCGTTTCAATTTAGCAGAAGGAAAATACGGATGTTGGAATGATTTTTCCTAAAAATTATGAACAAGATAAGAAGTCAGAAGCTGATAATAATGCTATTTTCTTACTGTCGGAGTCGATAATTTTCCGGATGATTTCAAATGAAATAACTGATTATATTCATTTTTTGTTGTTGCCAAATGTAACAGTTCATGCTGACGACAATACAGTTGCGATGGCGATGAAAAAGTACAATATTGACATTGAAATGTAGAATTATTTGCATGAAATTGTTGATGTTGAGTGAATTCTAAGAGCGACATTGAAATATATGGACAATTTAAACAATTGTACAATTTTTCATTTGACGATAGTTCTTGTTGTTGCTGCGATTTTTCTTCTTTATCGATAATTGTTGTCTGAGTTATTTGAAATTCAGCATCTTTTGCTAACTAAAAATAAATAGAATAATTATTAGCACATGTAATATGTCTAGGCACACATCACGTATATTACTTACTTTAAATGGTTTAATTCTTGCTACTGATGTTAAACTATGTTTTTTAATGATATGTAATAAAATGATGGATCGTGAATGCGAATTATAACCACAATGTGAACAATAGTAACCATGACTATGTTTTACTGACTGATGTAATTTAATATGCTGTTTAGCATAAAAATGACTTAGTGTACGATATAAACATTTTGTGCATTTAAAAATTGTTATATTTAACTTTTGCCGTTTTACATTTGTCAAATTATTATTTTTGTTTAGCAATGAGCGTTCCGATTTTTCATTAAAAATTGACTAAATATATAAAAATAAAGGGTTAAGGCACACTTTGCATTAATTTCACGTACTATTGCCAGGTTAGACAGTATAACTTACTTGTTGATTAATTCTTGATGTCACATTTGTTAGTTCTGTGCATGTATGTTTTTCTAATTCAAGAATTTTTGATGAATTATAACCACATTCATTACATGTGAACAAACGTTTATGTCTTAATGGTACAAATTGTTGTTGCTGTTTAATTGATACACTTCTGTTTGCTGATCTCCCTACTGTTCCACTATTAACGACATTTTTTGCCACAATTGATGGTCTTTGTCGAAAGGATTTTGATTGTGCCATTGTTGCTTGCATTGTTGTTAATGTCATTTGTGATGGTGGTAATGGTGGATAATCTGGTGGCCGTAAACGTTCGAGTATAATTTGTTCATAACCATGTTTATCTTTTATTTGATCATAAATCATTTTTTGTAAATCATACCATTCCATGTGACGAAATTCAGTGTAACGACCCAACACTTTTTTGCTAACAACAAAACCAAATGTATTTTCATAATCTTCGAATGTTCGTTCAGCTTCTTCTGTTGACAATTCATAGTAGCCATCATGTTCGGGTTCAATTTTATGTCGAGCTCTGAAACGAATGAAGGACTAATGATAAAAAAGCACTAGGTTTGGTCATTCTACTAAAAAATATCGTCAGGTGCCTGAAATGCGGTGGTTGGATAAAACAAGCTGAACCAACCAAGTTGTCTTCTAGTATGTTCTCTAAAAAAACGGAGAAATAATCCTACTCAAATTTGTGGCTTTTTGGTATTCCTCATCAAACACCCTAACTAGTTGATGATAACTTGTAGATGAATTAAACATTTTCATACATGGAAACAACGCATCCTTTCTAATCAACACATGAACATTGTCGTTCTGCACATAACAGTTTCTAGCAGATATCAGCTTTAGATTAGTTTGAGTGGCAAACAGTGAGCTGTACAACTTACCGAATATGACGCAAAGCGTCTGTCCGCCAATTTGTACGATAAAAACAATACGGACATTTAAATGGTTTAAAACCATAGGTAATACGTTGTTTAAATGCACCCGTGGATGGTATAGCAACTTTTACATTTGATAAATGATGTCTTGACGAACCCAATAGCCGAGGTTGTTGCGCTTTCTGTTCTTGTTGTTGTAATGGAGATGGCAAATGATTAAAATAATGTGCTGGAAATGCCGGATTGTTTGTCGTATCACCGAGCGGTATCGGATCACCGTCCCGTTGATTACGACTCATTAAACGTTTCTCGCGATTAGATACATCATCAATTATCGATATATCTACTTCTCCATCTTCTTGCTGTTGTGATATTGCTGATGACTTTTCATTCAATTTGAAATCATCATTACCACCCAACATATATTTTTGTTCCATCCCACCATTACCATCTCCTATCGATTCGCCATCAAAATTTCTTAACACTTGCATAACTTGCATGGCTGCTGCTGTATGTTGAGCCGTTGTACTTGCCGTTGACGCTGAACTCGATGGTATTAATGCATCAAGCTGTGCACAATATTCTAATATCTCTCCTTCCGGATCACCATGTAACGCCTTATGATGTCGTTTAACATCATATCGCCATCGATAACCTCGATAACATATTGCACAATAAAATAAACGATTTGGATTAAAATTTGAATGTAATGAAAAATTATTGTAAACAATTTTTGATTCATCCGGCAATGTGATTGTTCCATCTGGTTGTAAATTAGTTCTTGTATATAATGGTTTTGTTAAATAATCATTCTGATGCTTTGACAATGATGATGCATTCGGAGATAATGCTGTTGAATTTAGATTACATAAACTACTATTATTATTATCATCATACGTCTCGTTGTTGACATAATCACCATCAGAATTTATAAATATGGCAGCATTTGTCTGAGGATTCGGTAGACAATGTTCTGAACGTTGTGAAAATAGAAGTGGTTGTGTAGGAACAGGAGAATGTTCACTTTTCAGTTGATCAGTCGACTTTCGAGGCACGTGTATCATGAACTAATGAACAAAAAATATGAATAAATTAGGTCATATATTCATTGTCGCAAACAAGGAGACATACTTTCTGTAATGTTTCATCAATATTTTCATTTCGAGAAGAAATGCTTCCATTTTGCCTAGTCCCATTTAATTGTCCAAATGTTGTGATTGGTTTTCGTAATTTCTTTTTTGATATAATCATTTTCGCATACGCTTTATTCGGATGATTACTCTGAATATGTTGATCAACAAATTTTGGATGATTCGAACGAAATGGGCAGACAGAACATTGAAATCGTCGTTTTGAATCATGACCACCAAACAATTTTGAATCTAAACCACGTTCTCTCATGTATGCATCAATTGTTTGCTCAGCTTCTTCATTTGATAATTGTAACACTTCAAAAGTCATATTTGGATGACGCTTTTTCGCGTGACACTGAATATACCATCGTAAATTAGCTCTAAAAATATTTTATTTAGCCATGATATAAATTAGAAATAGGTAAAACTATTACCTCCATCCACATAAACTACACATGTACGGTTTAATATTGATATGCGTTGAAACATGAAGTTTCAATTTTGTTAAAGTTGGTGCGCTATGATCGCAATGAGGACAACGAAATTTCTTAAAGCGTTTTGCTAACGATGATGATGATGTATCGTACGAATTTGATGATAGATTATTATTTTCCGATGATGGTGATTGAAAATCCGAAACTTGTTGAAATTTCCATAAACTAGAATTAAATGAAAAAGTCAGATGTAATTGATATTATAGATCAAAAAGCATAAGACTTACGCCTCATCTTCATCGTCAATGATTTGTTCATCTTCTGGCACTGTTAAAAAATCACCATTCAAATCCATTGCTTCTAAATCATCATCATCGATATCATTATCATCTTGTATTTCATTTAACACCGACGCATCACTCCACAAACCACTATATGGTGGAGAAGATCTTGTATTCGATAACGGTTCGTCCCGTTTTGACAACAACAATAATGGTGATTGATCAGTCGTTATTTCATTTTTGATAATATGTGGAGGCAACGATGGATGTTTACGTCGTTGATGCTAGAAAAAAAACTCTTTTTATCTATGTGAGAAACAAAAAAATGAAGAAAAGGACTTCGTTAGCTCAAAGACCTATAGTAAATATACATAATTGAAATAAAGTTACCTTTTGTATGTCTTTCGACCATCCACTTGAATATGAACAATAATTACAACGAAATGTTTTATTATTCACGCCTGATTGTTGTTGCTGTTGAAGTTGCAAAGATTGTGAGGGAAATGGTGATCGCGTTGATGAACCATTTATCAACGGTGGCGGTTGGGAGGAGAATTGTGGTAGAGATAAACGTGGTAACGAGTTCATATGATGTTCACGATTATTGTCAGTATGATGAATATTGCTGTTGTTATTATCATTGTTGAGAGAAGAAGAAGTCGAAATATTATCTGATTGCAATTTTTTGACGTATCGACCTGCTTGTGCATGTGTTATTTCATGTTTTTTTCTAATATGAGCTGTGCAATCATGAAAATTTTTATATGTAAGATTACACAATGTACATAAGAAATTTTTTCTATGTTCTTGTTGTCGCATTGTGAACGATGTCGACGACGGAGAAAAAGAAAAACTGGTTGGTGATAGTTGATCAGTAATAAATTTTGGTACAGGTGATGATTGACTGCGAACTGATTGCGACGGTAGTTTTATCGACGTTGAAAATGAACGAGAAGGAGCAGAAAATTGAGCTGATTGCGCGTACGATGAAGGTGGTGTACCTGAATAGAATGAAAAATGACTCAGTGACACATATTTGAAAAGCAAATGAAATGATTTTGCCCTTTTCACCGATTTGTCTGATTTTTGGAAAGATATTGACAAGTGCTAAAAAGCTACCGAACCTCGCTACACACAATTTTTATTCAAATTCCTTTCTTCAAGCAAAGATCGAGTCAATACCTTTTATTATATCAGCATGATTTTGACTAAATGAATTGTTATTCGCTTTAGGAGCGATGGGTCTTTGTTGACTTAATATTGAATGTAACACATTTGGTTTTCGTTTACTGGAACCATTTGCTGTCGAGATACTACTTGAGCCTGACAGTTGTGCTGGCAATGATAATGGAAAAAGATCATGAATATTATTAATTTGTTTCTTTTCATCGGTTACAGATGAAATTAACAATTTACTAGTATTCCCATTTGTTGTGCTTGTTATTTGACCACTATTATATTGTTGCAAATTGTTATTATCGGTCGATGATTCTTCCATATAGCCGAGTGTTGGAAAATCAGCATTGCTCGCCGTATGATCCGGTACTTGAAAACATACATTTCCATCATTCTCACGACATTTTCGTACAGCTGTTTTACATTCATCTAAAACAGAGATTTGATTAGTAATATCGAAGCAAGAAACTACGGTGCACGCACTTTTATCCAATTTATGCCCTGAAACAATCAAAAGTAAGCACATTAGCATCGTCAACTAAGATAAAAATGACAGACAAAATCTTACACGTCGTTAAATGTCTTTCGACTTTCCCATTATATTCGCTTGCATATTGACATAATGTACATTCGTAAATTAATAAATCCTCCGAATGGTGATCCCGACGATGATGCAACAATACTCTTGGATTTGACGTAACGTAGGAGCAAGCACGGCATGCATATAACCTTTCAAATCTCATTGCATGATTGACACCGCCATTTTGTGGATCATTTATCTGTGAAAATGTAAGAAATATTTTCACAGCCACAGACAACTCTAAATAAGCATACTTCAATATAATTTTCGCTTCGATGACCATTGTTGTAGTCCATTTCAGCAGTATTAGTATTGCAGTTTTGATTAACATCATCTGATGATAATCTTTCCCATAACCTATCAGAACCTAATGAAGAAAAAAGAAATCTATGAGACTGAAAATTAAGAGCTAGAGTTATTATTACTAGAATCAACGTTTTGATGCTGTCTAACATGAGAGTGTTGTCTTGGTGCTTGCGATATAATCTAAAAAACAAAATTAGTAAAATCTATGTTGTCTGAAACTATTAGGCTACTAACTTGATGACTAAATGCTGGTTTACGTCTAGAACGTTGCTGGACAGGTAGATCAGTTTGTTGCCCATTTATTTCATTTTCGGCTGGTTGTGCATCGTTTTCTATAAAAGATTAAAAAAAACAATAACAGAATACTAGCAAATTGTGAAAGAAATAATCGTACCATTCGCATGTACATCCATATGTGCAATGAGCTCTGGCAAACTTTCTCCATTGAAATTGCATGACGGGCAAATAAAAGCTGTTCCCGTATGCATGACCAAATCAATAATTAACAATCTAAAAGAACACGAGTAACGTACTCGATGCTACTGCACTGATATAATAACGTGTCCGAAGGTAAAGAACAAAAAGAGAAAAAAAGTTCTTATCCATCTCCTCCTGTGTTCCAGATACCTTCCGAAACAAACCACACACATATACAGAGAGAAAAGATTTGATTTGCGTGTGAAGGAAAAAAAACGAAAAAAAGTTGAGCCGTATGTGTGTGTGCGTGTGTATGTGAAAAAGAGAGTAAAAGAAGAACATGTCTATATTTGCCGAAGGAAATGTGCTTGTAGGTTAGAGCTGCGTATGGCCTCCTTTGGATACATTTCTCATTACATTTTCTTTTATCTGTTCTGTCCCTTCTATCCAGGACACCAATACACGAACACAACGATGGTGTTCTGTATATCAGCCTTCAAAACGCCGTGATATAAATTTCTTATTTCAAAATAGAAGTGGGAACAGAATATGGTTAGAAGCAGACAGGAGGATAGTAGATATATAAGATGGTTGTGTGTGTGTGTGTGTATGCATAATAGACGATACTCGACTTAGTCCTAAGTAGATTTGCTTTGTGTTTCCGTTTTCGATTGTTCATTCTCTTTCATTTCTTCTTTTTCTCCTCTTCCCCTATTTTTCTATATACTCTCACCCACAACAACATACCATTGTATCCAACCTTCCTTTCTTGTTTTGTTTGTTGCATGCAGGCGTCAAAAGCTTAAAAAATTTTGTTCTCCATTAAAGAAAAGTTTAGAAGCGAGTGCATGTGTATGGTGCGTGCACCATTATCATTATTTACTCAACAACTATACCAAGAAATGAGGTTTGCGCAAAGAGCAACTGCGTTTCTAGTAATGGCTTATAAGTTTTTTTTGAGATATACCAAAAAGAAGAAGAAAAAAAATGGGGTAAAAAAGTTTTTTCCTTTTTTCTTCTTTGTGCATCGCATCTTGTCAGTTTACCGGAAACAGAAATGGAAACTCCCTAAAGCTTGGATACTTTCGACAATAAATAACATAAAAAAGAAATAAGAAAACGAGAGCATTCCAGTATAGGAGGAAAATGATGATGATTGTGTTACTTCCATTTGAGCGTGCTGCTCTCCTCTTCTTCGTTAAACGATGTATAGATAAATGTACTTCAGATATGAATGTCGGATAGAAGAGAAACTATATGCATTCGAACAGCAGACACAAACAACATTTTTAGAGAGGAAAAAATCCGTACGTGATTGTTATATCTGAAATTGAATTTTATGCTGCAGATCGCCTTTCAGAATATAGCTGTCGACAAAAAATCAACTGCTGCATTGTAAACAATTCGCGCTTTTCATTTTCATACACAAATATTTTACTTATCGTGATAACTCTACACGCTTTAGGTGATCAATTGTTAAGGCTGTCAAGTTTTCTTCTGAATTATTTCTGTTGTAATTAGTTTATATTTCAGATCAGAGATTAGCTGGTCGACGTTTCATGATATCCTCAAGACTTTCACCCATCAAATGACAGTATTTTTTTCTGCCCGTATTCCTATTATCTCTGTTATAGACAATGGAGTAAACCAAACAAACATTTTTTTCATTTTTATTTTCCTATGGCATCCTTAAATCTGTGCAAAAGCGTGTTTTTTTCTTTGGTTCCACATTCTTGCAGAGAAAATCATTCCATGATGGCCCAACAAGATCTTCAAGATTTCTATTGTTCAAAATAAGAACGAAAAGAATGAAAGTGAGGAAAAAATACATTGCATAATAAGTAAATAAAAAATAAACTAATGTTGAACGTTTAAACCATAAGCATATGCAGTGAAATTCTTGCTAAAGTAGTTGAGATACCATCTCACTTTATCGTTTTCGGTACGTTTGATATTCACCATGTAAGTCAAAGTTTGGAACAGTCAATTAATATAAGCTTTAAAAACTAAACATATTTTGTTTTATGACGTTATAGTGCAAAAAAATTCAAACTCTTCCGATACAAATATCTGTATAACATACGAAAAACTTACTTTCAAATTTTGTTTTTCGTCAGACTGCCAGAAGAAAGAGAAAATGAATGCCGGTGGAGAATGAAAATTAAACTTTCTAAACAATGAATATCTCCTCACTCCGAATGCTTGCCTATCTTCCTTCTTCCTTCGTTTTTGTCCTTTTTTCTTTACTCTATCGCACTACTATATATATATATATATATATGAACATTTCATTCATTACTGATTCATTGGATTTTCTTATACTAGTCGTCTACATATGCACGGAGTAAAGAAAAAAACGATGACGTTTACCAGAATATGAAAAGAAACGAACGCTGACTGGATCCGTGATCACCATGTATGTTCAGTTTTATGCTTGCTTTTAGAGAAAACTTAGAATATATATAAAACAGAAGAATGTATTAGTGTGTGTATGTGTTCTCTTTTTGGTTCGCTTATACGTAGATGGATGATAGAAATATTAAATGCTTTCATATAGTTTTAATCATGATGGAATTGTTCGGAGAGAAACGGGATCTGTCGTTTTTTGCTCCTTTCTCTTTAATATATTCTATAGGATACTGTTGAGAATAAAACATATTACAGGAAAAGAGGAAAAAAAGGAAAAAGAGGCATCCACGGTAGAGGTAGAGGAAACAGATTCCTTGCGTGTGCCAGATTTTTTGTCTGTACCAGTACACAGTAATACCACATTTGTTATATACATCGTGTTGAAATAATTGCATACATGTATGTCTCCACATCAGCAGAAAAAGGAGGAATGAATGATTGGCGGCAGAAAAAAAGTATGAAAAGAAGTAGTAATACCAAAAAAATAATAAATTAGTGGCATGGGAATTGGCAATTCCGGAGAAAAACATCTACCAGCGCATAAATAAAAGCACTTAGAAGATGTTTCATATTATCACAGTTTTCTAAATTCAATTCATCGTGTCTAAGATGAAAATACCTCGTGAATGCAAGATATTATTACACCTAAAAAAAAGGGAAATTATTTTAGTAGATCAAATTCCAGAGATCTATACACACTTTGAGGAAAAAGTGTTTCTCCAGTCTATTCTTATTGATTAAAGATAGTAACGGGTGGGCCAATTATATCACACATCATTACCAGTTTTCAAAAATGCTTGATACATCACCCAAATACATCAGTCAAAGGCTTGCTTTTATACCAAACGATAGAGACGCTTTCTTGCTCTATCGATCTGAATAATGTAGAACTTGATTCTTTACTCGTCTGGACTATTTTCAAACGGATAGGATTATGGTTTAGTAGTGCAAAGGATAAAAAGCCGAGAGGAGACGAGATAAATAAGAAATTACTGACATGCATATTCTGCACTATCATTTTAATACGAAAAATTGCATTGAAATTTTTTAGCAAGCATTAAAAGATAAATAATTTTATGTTTGATTTTTGTGATGTACTTGAAATTTAACGACGACTCCATCTTAAGGCAACAGTCGATATTTCTTTTTTCTGAGAGATGCACTAACGACAATTGAAAGCATTTGAGCTACATGAATCGCAATCAAATGAACTTAACTTACTTTCAAATTTATATTAAAAAGATACTACGGATTGTTTATGGCCTATCCATTGCTATAATTCAATCATAGATTGTACATTCACTCAAAAATTGAGCAAATACAATTTTTATTTTATTCATAAACGTAATAGTTGCATCAAAGATATTAATATAACTCTTTGCTACAGTCAACGTTGCAAACAGAAGTCGAATATTACGATTTGAACAATGGACTGTGCACCCTTCCACACTCTCCTGATATTCGCGACATTAAGTAGAGAAAGCAAACCAAAATAAATAATACATTAAAAAAGAGATAATTGCACAGCTGAAATTTCAAAGCAAATCGTATAATATTCAACATCAGAATACATCTGAAGAGATGACTATAACTAGAAATAAAATCATGAATATCCACTCGTTCATAACTAAAATGGATCTACTCTTTTTTTTCTTCATCCCTTGAGAAAATGCGTGCTTGATCATGTTTTTGTGCAACGATTTAGTCTTACTCATTTATTAAACACAGCAAGTTATGTCAAACGGAAAAAGCAGGTCCGTAGCAAATAGGAAAATGTAAAAAGTCATCCCACAAATTTCAAAAATTTTACATGTTACGATCGTGAGAATTGTACAAGATCATAAATTGTAACGATAGAAGCTTTATGATCTTTATCAGTGATTAAGCACTTCTAGTTAGAATCTAACTTATAAAGCCGACTGGTATTAGTATGAGGTATACTCAGTTGGTTGATATTGCTGGTATTTTGCGGTATGATGCGATTTTTCCAAAAACATCGTGTAAATTCAGCTCATCTGCGACATACTTCTTCTACTGGAATTTCATTTCAATTACGTAAACTCAGTTCGGTTATATAAGCTTCTTAATTTAAAAAATTGAATTGGATTGCTGTTTTTGTTAAAAAAGTGCGTGGAAAAAATCAGCTATGAAGAGATTAATCTGTCTCTTTGACAACATAAGTAATTGATCAAAAGAAGAGTAATCGGTTTTTCTCGGTGAGTGTTAACAGACCTCTTCACATATGTGACAAGGAAAAAGTATTTGTATTTAGGCAAAACATAATCAAGACAAGGCGGTACCGGTACGAAGTTCGTATACCGGTGACCGGTACCAGTATCGCATTTTTGATACCGGTTACACCCCTGAATTAGATGTATCTTGTTTAGTATATGGTTTTGATCGTATAAAAATGACAAACAAAAACAATTAAAGAAGTTACTCATGAAAATTGAACAAAAAATGTCCGTGTTGAAAATCGAATTGTACTGAAACATTTAACAACGATGGTGCAATGATTGGTTTTTGTAATAAATGTACACCTTGTTTACAATACGTTGGCCATTGTAAAGGCTGATTAAAATTGATTGTTTCAAGACCAGTTGTTAACCATACATCATCACAAAGTTCAAAATCGATCCAAATAGCAATGCCATTACATTGTCCATTTTGATTTAAGGATATTTGTACATTCTCGTTAATTATTGACGAATGATTGTTATCTTTAAAATCAAAATGTAATAGAGTAATTATGTTACTTAAAGGTTTCGATGAATATTCAAATAATGATTGTGCTTCAACAGGAACATCAGCAATTTTTGATGCATTTAAAATTTTATCATCAAATGGTTTTAAATTAAAATCACAACATTTTTCAACGGGTAAACGTATTTTATGTAAATGATCAAATTCTAATGCAATACAAAGTATTTTTGCACGATTTGGCATTGAGATAAAATTTGATTTTAAAAATATTTTACATGTTTGTAATGAATAATAAAAATGTAAATTATCATATGGTAAAAGTGATGTTGAAAAGTATGGTTCTGATAAAATAAAATCAAGATTATTTTGATCAAAATCGTCAATGGTCAATGATGCTAAGGATTTATTAATTATACGATAACATTTATAGTTATTTTCTAATATTTGATTTAATACTCTAATAAGATGTTTATTTGTTTGAATAAGATACAATTCAACATTTTCGTACATTGTTAATAGAAGCAATGGTAATAATAGACCATCTCCAATATACAAACAACGTGGTGTACTACTTGATTTACTCAATAAAACAGTCAACGCATTCGAATATTTCGTACGACGATAACTAGAATTAAATGAAGCTACTGCTAAACGACTTATAATCGACGGAGTATACACACGTGATAAAGGTGTTATAGATTGGTTGATATCAAATGGAAGAACATCAAAATAAAGACTATATTCATCATGATAACCATAAATAGTTACCTAAATAAAAACAATAAAAGATATACAATATTTTCATTATGTTTAAGACTAGTTAAAATTCATACTTCATCATTTTGATTGACATTGAATGGTGTTTTAGGATAATAAATCCCATGTAACCAATGTTCTCTCCATTGTGGTTTTTGTTCTGCACACCATATAGGTGTTGTACTTAATTTATATTCACCATCTTCGTCCATATTTAATTCCCACCACATAATTATTGCATCAATTTTACCTGATTTATTACATTGAATATTATTCACAATACATTCATCATGATATTGTTTACTATTGTCAATATTTTTAAAATCAAAATGAAATATTTTAATTGGTTTTGTTAATGGTATAATGTGTTCATGTATCTCATTCACATTTAAATCATAAACACTGTTACCTGCTAAATTTACCCATTCAGATGGTATTTGAATTTTCTTATTTTGTATGTTATTCATTGTATGAAATGATTGTAAAAAATTTGATTGAACTAATTGAATAAAAATAGTACCATAAGATGGAATAATGATACTTTGTTTATTATTCATCATTAAATGTTTTGATGCATCATGAAATGTTTTTAAAGCACCTTCACCAATAAGTTCAGTATCAAAAATTTCAGCAATAATCATATTGACAGGAACATTATTCAAATCATTGGATAAATCAAGATCTGTTGAACGTTTGTTAATAACATTTATACGATCCGTTAATAAATTTATTTTAATACATTTTTTTGCTATTTCAACCATTGGTTGATATATTTCACAGGCAGTTATACGTTGTTGATTATGAGGTACTTGAAACTTTTCTAAGGCACGAGCAGCCATCATTGACAATAGTCCGGTACCTATAGAGAGAATGAATTATTAAATATTGATGAGTATAAAAGACGATTGTATTTACCTGTTCCAATATCAAGAATATGAATTTGATTCTTTAATTGTTTTAATTTTTCAATTGATTTAATAATTGCCTTCTCATAGAATACATTTCTTTCAGTATCATGGAGCATATCAGCATAAGCTGAACGAGCTAAATCTTGTTCATAATCATATTCAGTTTCATCAAGAAACATCCATTCTGATTCTCCAGTAATAACATTATTTTGTGATATAAAACTCATGTTTCTTTATTTAAACATCTTTGAGAAATCGACTAGTCTAACTATCTGACATTTTTCAAAAACCAATAAATTCTAAAATAAAATTATTTTATTTTCGCAACTAATTTACTTTGTTTCAGAAAAATAAAAATAAAAATAAAACTGAGAAAAATTTGCATGAACAATCAAATTTATTGTGTTTTGATTTATACGAATTGAAAAATTTAATCATTTACAAATTCTTTCGTTATTTTACGCTTTGTTTAGAGCATCCTAGTTTGAATGTAGAATGTAAAATCAAATAAATAAGAACAATGCGATTGCTAGTATGATATTATAGACACTAAATTGTGTTCGTCAACGAAAGAAAGAAAGTTAAAAAAGACCTAGCTATTTTTCGATAAAAATCAAAAAACACTGTTTATTAGTTTAGTGTTATGTATGTTACTCTCATTTATTAATTCATAATTAGTGATTAAAAAATGCGGAAATATTTTCTTTTTAGAGTAGAACGAATTAAAGTAAGAGATAAAACCGCTAAAATCTATTGCATGACATGATGAAATGACACATCGTGCCAAAGACATCAAAGAAAACTGATGGAACATCTGCCCAGTGTTAATAGAATTGGTGAACCGCTCAGTTTGATAAAAGGAGGCATTTATTCTTGACAAACCTCGGTGACAACGACATCAGAAGAGAATCCGTGTATTAATAATTCACTAGACGGACAATACGCGATGGAGATGTATTCATTTTACATATAGGACACGATTGATTATCATTAAGCCATAGATGAATACATTGCCAACAGAATAAATGACCACATTCAATAATGGATAACGTGTTCAATGGATATTCATAACAGAGTGGACAACGTACTGATGACACTTCGTCACTAGTTTCAACTTGCTCAACATTATCACGAACAATTCCTGTTTCCAAAGGAATTTGTCTGTTTAATTGTCGTCGGTGTTGAATAATTGATAAAGCTATTTGTTGTATGGAATTATATGTTTCAATAACATGTTGTATAATAAGACATAATGTTAATAATTTCATTGTACGATTTAATGTTTGATATATGGGATCATTAGTGTTTGTTCGACTATAAATCAAATATCTTATACGTGTAAACAATTTAGATAAATGATAATAATCACCATAAATATAAAATAAAATTTTGTGTGTTCGATCAATAAATGAAATGATAAATTTTCCAATATAATCCAATGTTTGTGATGATAATCGTGGATGAAAATACTCATTGGCCAATGGGTGTATAAGTAGATTAGTTAATAGATATTCAAATAATTTGTTACCAAATAGATTCAATAAAATCATCAGGAGTCGTCTCGAATATGCTGGTATTTTTTTTGTATGAGGATCATATTGTATTAAACATATATATTCTTCACCAATTGTTTGACGATTTGATAATGTTGTAGTTAAATAGTAGAGAAATTTACTTAAACGATTAAGATGTGGTTGATAGATATGAAAATGATTTAATCCAAATAATTTTGTATGCAAATCTTCTAAAGATTGGCTCAGTTGCTGAATTAAATAACGATCTTTCTCTTCGCTACGTATGATTTCTAATTGGGTTGCATAACGTAATTTAGTTGACGTCATCTAGAAAAGAAATTATTAAAAACAAAGATTATATTCAAAAGACTTTATGTAATTAACGTTTCACTAAATCAGAGGTGGGCGAGTAAACACTTTTTCCAGTATGAGTATGAGTATTTAGTGGCGGATACGAGTATAAGTATGAAACAGTTTTACTTGAAACAAAATTATTATCGGAAAACTTTTCGTGTGATGATAGTATATCAATCAGTCTCTTATGAATTCCTTTTTTTTAAGTTAAATAAGTTTTCATCCGAGTATTCGAGTACACATTAATAAAAAAGTCGCGAGTACGAGTATCTAAAAATTTTAAAAAGATTCATGCTACAAGTGAGATTTTTATAAAAAAAGAAAACGAATACGGTGACCAAGAGGACGAATTACTTCACAGCCTAGAGAATACACGTAAAATTCGCTAAAAACTATGTGATAAATATGTACAATTTAAATATTACAGTGTAAATCCTTGTTATTTAATATTTCCAGATTACATCCTTGTTATTAAAACTTTTGTATTTTGTTTTTGCTTTTTTTATTGTTCATTTATTATTTTTGATACTGTTGTTATGGGTAATTTAACATAATTTAATATATAAAACATGAAATATAACTGAACTATAGCGTTTTGCTGTAAAATTCGAACAAGAACCTTCGCCATACGGTGTAATAGATGCACATCACCAATTTGATAGCAGCACACCATCACGTTATCCAATCAGAAAAAACACTGATTATATTACCAGACATAAAGCTGAACATGCTAAAGATAGAAAACCTTTAAAATATAGTAAAAAATCTAGTTTCCTTGAAAAACCCGTCTTAATTTTCAAAATACTACTTTTTCACGTTCGATGTTGACGTCTAATTCTACATTCACATCGTTAGTAGTCTAACTTATGAATCTTATGTTTGATAGTCAATTATAGAATTTCAGCAGCTCTGATATGCTCTCAATTAAAAAAGTGCTCAGAAACTGAATAAAAAAGCGAACCTTTTAATTTTTTTGGGTTTATACAGTTCAGCATCACTAAAAGGTGTCTCACACATGTTAAAGTAAGACACTTTTAAGATAAAATAAATAAAAAAAACATGTCATAATTTACAATATTTATACTCTAGAAATAACACAAAAGACGGTCCGCGTTAGAGATGTGTGTGCAGAGGTACCATTTTCGTACCCGTGCCCGACCCCAAATTGTTTTTTCCACCTGTACCTGACTCGACAACTTTGTACTCGTACTCGACTTATGCCTAAACATTTTCTCCTTTTTGTTTTCCAGCTAAAAACTTTTGTTTTTCGACTGAAGATGTCAAATTATCATTACGTTCTCAAGTAATTCTTTTTTAAACTTTCATGTCGCTTAGCTAAATTCCTGTATTTTTTCACTAAAATTTTCACCAGAACCTTTCGGTTTTCGAAAAAAAAATAGAACCCGTACCCGTGACTGCTCTAACCGTAGTCAACCTCCGAGTCGGATCGGGCTGCACGTCTCTAGTCCACGTTTTACTGTTTGATTCTTTTATTAAGTTTTTGTCTGATTACTGAAAATGGAAATTGATACTTGTAACTATGTTGAGAAACATATTGAGAAAACTAATTTTATGAGTGAAATTACGAGTAAATTTATTAAATAAGAATATTTTTAGTTTATAATTAATTTTCTCTTTTATGATACTATCGACGGGCTTAAGCAGTGATGTGACAATTGGAGTCATTTGTCCTGTGTGCCACAATACCTATCGAAACCTTATAGTCTTGTCTGTATGCATGTTCTTTGTGAAATTTGTTTAATACAAATACAAACAAGAGATCAAAAGAAACTACGCTACATTTGTCCATTACGCAATATCTTATCGTTTCTATCGCAAGTACAACCAAATCGCCTTGTTCAAGATTTACTCGAACGTTCTAAAAATAAACGATCGACGTGTGTTATATTTAAACATCCTATTATTTGTACAAAAGATTTTACACAAACGTTATATACATCACCAACTAAATTTTTCGATGAAAACAGCAACGGCGATCGTTCACAATGTAGTATTGGAAAATTACCAAATGTTTGTGGAGTATGTTAAAAAAAAATTGGTTTATTCGGTCGTGATAACGACAATTTTATAAAAAAACTAGATAGAGGTGAAAGTAAGAATCTGTATGCATTGTATATGATTTATTTTTAAAATTTAGGTGGTGAATATCTACAAAAGTATAACAATGAATTATCTCGTTTGTATTCATGGTATAAACATGTACAGTGTAACGGATTAAATGATCGTGTAAAACAAATGTATAGTAAATTTGAAAAAGTTCGGAATGATATACAATAGTCTATTCATAGCTATATGTATACGATAGCAGAGATAATGCAATGTGTAACAGCCATAATAGCACAATATAAAAAAATGAGAAATTTTATATCAAAACAATATTTAGGTTAAAAGAATAAACATTAACGTTTTAACCATCGAATCTTTTTAGCCAATATACCTCATATGTAAATGAAGACACAATCAAACTATTAAACACGTTTCGTTATACATCACCGAGCAATATCGACAAGATTTCTGCATGCAAGTTCAGTTGTTGAGAGAGCATGAACAGACAATACGGAAAACCGTTGATTTATATATGAATTTAAATCTCACCAAAAATATATTTCAACTAAAATGGAATCAATACAGAATAGCAGATAATCTACTGTTTCAAACACAAATGAATGAATTAAAAACATCAACACAAATAACAACAATGTTGATGAGCTATAGTAATACAGTTTAATGTGTAGTCAAATATGTACCGATAACGATAAACATTATGCTACTCTACAAAGATTTTGATTAGGAGGAAGAAGAAAGTTGTCTGCTTTTTTCAAAAAGTTAGAAAAAAAATCTCAGAGATACGAATTCAGATAGGTATTGATTTCTTTTACTGAATAGCCATTATAAATACGCATTGGTTTTGTTGAATAACTTACAATTGATTATTACATTTGAGTATTAAATTAAATCTAAGGTAAGAATTTCTTGCTCAATTCACTGTAGAAAACGTTCAAGCAATTGCAAATCATTACAGTTCTCTTCATTTTGATTAACGTAAGATTTTTTTCTCAAAGTGAATAATTCATTCTAAGTAACTGTACAATAGCGCTTCATTTCTATGTAGCTGAAAGTCAAGACACACGTTCAGATCAACTGAAAATGAGAATATTGACAAAAGATATGAACGGTCACAAAAACAACGGAGCAATCACTTTTAATGGGAATGAATCTTATGTCGAAACGGTTTTCGTTTTATCGATTCTACGTATATTTCTATTGGAAGCAAACAAATGTGAGCTTTCATTTAGCGAAAAAGTAACCAATGTAGATACTATCTAAATTGTTTCAGTTTATTTTTTTTTTAAATCCAAGACAAGTGAAATTACTATATGTTGGCGAATAGTAAAAATCTAGTTTTATCTGAGAATTTGTAGAAATTCTAAAGCAGAATAAAGAAAAGAACCAGTGTTGACATGAACATGCACTAAGCACTTGCCTATGCCAACATTAAAAAAGTTAGTTTCTCAAAAAAGGTTTTAGTTATAAAATTTCCTGTTTTCTGTTAGAGTTATGTCGAAAACTCTGTCCCCTTATAATTTTATAAATAAATGATCACTTGGAAAAATCAAAAGAATACGTATTTCTAACACTATTGGAGGCTGTAAGAAGCGTATCTGAAAGATGAATGCGAGAAATTAAAGCAAATAAAGATGCTTTGTTTCATGATAAAGCGATCAACGATTCAATCAGAAAATAGTGGCTACACAACTGTAAAATGTCTGTTCTAAACAGATAAAAAAAGATTTTTTAAACAAAGACTGCTAAGTTTATCTCGAAAAACTACCAGCCATTCACTTTCAAAAACATCATGAATACACATTAATAGAAGATAACTTTTTAAATAATTTAATTCTTGTAACAACAAAAAGAACAAGTTAACAGTTTAAAATACAATAATAAACTTAAATGAACAAAGTAGTATAGAGTAATTTCTTTAGAGTTCACCTTTAAGTCTTTGGCATCTGGCGCTTGCTTTTTATTTCTAAGAAGCAACAGATGGTTGATATCCACGTGCAAGACGATCAAGTTCGGCTGTCTAAAATCAAAATTACACAAGATTTAAATGCGTGCCTTGTAAGGCTTTCAAAATAAGACATTCAATAGAAATTCATAGTTTCTGGATCTGATGAAACTTCTAAAGTCACACATATGAAACGAAAAACTTTTACTTTTTGTGTCAAATCTTTGATGTACGGATGATTAGCATAAGAATCTTTCATTTGTGATAAATAACGATTTGATACCTAAAGAAAAGAGATTGTGCAGCGTTTCATCATAAAAAAGATCTCAACTTCACACACTTCGACTGCTTTTCCAGTGTTTTGCGAAAGAACTATGAAATTGATCAATGTATCTGGATTGTTACTATCCTAAACGAATAGTAATTTTGAATGTCGTTGTCTATACAGTAAAATCTATATTTTACTGGCATACCCGATCTAGTGCTTCTTGTAGAACACTTTGAGCTTCCTCTTTAAAAACAAAAAACATTAATAATACTATACAAACTATAATTAAGTCATATATAATACATACCGTATTTTCCCTGTCCAATATGGCACACAGCTTGTCCATTCAATAACAAAGGAGTTGCGGTATGTTTATCAGATAATTCTTGATATATATAAAATGCTTCTTGCAGTTTTTCACCTCCCTGCAAATAAAGGAAGGAGAACAAAAACATTTTTTCCATGTTCAAGAAAAATCAATAACAAACTGTTGAAATATTAATCCATGCTGTTGCTAATTGTGTAATAACAGAATCTTCATCTAACTCTGTCATACGTTTTAGTTCTTTTCTAAATGAAAATATATGGGAAAAAATTATAAATGATATTGGGAGAGAAATCTACCTAGCCAAATCTAAACGATCTAATTTTAATAATGCTTGAATAGCCAGTGCACAACTAGAACAAAATTTGATAGTCTAGACTTAGAAAAAAAAGGAGCCTTGAATCATTTATACCATTCTAATGAATCTGCGTTGTGAATAACTTTTAATGTGCTTTCGTAATTCTAAGAGAATACAAAAAAATGTCTGTTAAATCGACACTTTGTTTTCGTACCTCTTGTAAATAATACATATAACCAGCCATCAATAAACAAAATGAATTTTTCACATTACCACCCATTTTGTTATCGAGTTCATGAAGAATACTCTCTCTAGAAATAGAACAGCTCAACTTAGTATCTTATAGCAATGGATCGATCACAACCTTTTCGATTCGTTCGACAGATATTCAGCTAGCAAACGTACGGCTAATAATTCTTCTTGCGATACTTGTTTACTAATTTCATCTAAGACTACACCATATTTCTTTTGAGCTATGTACGATCGATACATAAGTAAATCTTTTTCGGTTTGTAAATGTTGTGGAACCTACAAAAGAAAATTTCAGGAAAACTTGTCTCTTTGCGGCAATAGATGGTCTAATACTTTAATTTTTTGTGCTTCATTTACACATTGCTGATAATTACCAATATAAAAATTCGTACGAATTTCAAATAACTCGTCTGGATCACGATCTTGAGAAGCCATTCGCTGTTTGTTTAATCTCTTTCGTAAGGATCTTTCTTTTGTTTGTGAGCAGGAGAAAATTAAATCTGAAGTTTTTCAAGCAAATAAAACGCTAACTCTTGCACATATTTGAACACTGCAACTAAGACCCTAGTCGAGACGTAGAAATGCCATAAAAGTCCTGCGATATTAAAAAAAGTTCTTCGCCCCAATGAAATCCTGCCCCAAGAGACATTCATCATGCCTTAAAAATAATGCAACCGTCATGAAAATCAAGTGCATTATGATCTAACACTCTTTACGATAAAACTCGCTTCCAGATAACACAGTAGCCTAGCAAAAACCATTCTTCGCAAATTTAAATGCTTTCTAGTGCTGGGAAATTGTGACAACTGTAAGACTACTAAATCGTTCACTTTTTGTGCTGCTAGCACCGAAATATAACAACTTAAAGAATACGCACTTATATGTGGACCTAAAAAGGCACGTTTCTATTCGCCGTTTTCTAACGATAAAGTGTTCCCAAGTGATTGATTTATATTTTGCTGATCGATAGGGTTCATTGATTTGGCAAAACCCTAAGAGGGATATTTTTACTATAACTGACTATTCAGAATATGTGGAGAACTGAAACTCACAGCAATGATAGTCTTAGATAGAGTCCCTATGTTGTGTGAATTTCAAATCTTAGTCTTATGTTCGTTATAAGAAACCGAATTTTCATTTTTTTCATGGGATTTTGGCACAAACTTATGATCTACAGATGAAAAACAAATTCAAGTCGTCTAATCAAACAGTAGTTCCGACACTGTCCGACTATTATTTCTATGAGTTTCAGTTCCCCACCATGTTTGAATAGTCCATTATAGTGAAAATACCTAAAACTTAAAATTCATGAATCATCACTCAGGAAGGAAGCCGCATAGGCATGTACCCTCTTGGAATTTTTGCTAGATCAATGAGCCCTACCGATCAGCAAAATATAAGCCGAATCGGGATGGATCAGCCGGGAACGTAGTAAGTTTCCATTAACTACTTCCGTAGCTAAAGAACGTCTAGGGTACCTGAGGGATTACTAAGATTTCTTCACAAAAACTTCCAAGTTTTCGACCAATTTCTGATCTGTTCTGAGTGAGAAACGATGACTGACCATAGTAAGCGGTGCCTGAGAATCTCTGCAAGGTTTTAAGAAACTTTTGAATACAAAAACAGAGATAAAAGCTACGACGATAAAGGAAACCCTTCTGTTGATGTAAACTGCAGCGCGACTAAAGTCACCGGTGCAGCAAGTCGCAGATGAGTGTCATCTAGTAATAATTATATACATATGACATGAATAAAAATATGACAGTCTGAGTCCGCGCGTCAGCATCAACGTATTCATCTAGTAACTAAGTGGCATTTTCCTACGCCAATTAAAAACTTCGAAATGACATCTATGAGAAACCGAGAAATCATTTATGCATAGGAGCGCTGTGGTCTTTTTTCTTGCTATACTGTAATAATAGATAGTTCAATTTAAATTGGTAATTTTTTGTTTTGCTTGTATCTCTACTTCTTCTCTTTTGATTCTGTGGAACTCTTCATTTATAAAAGCGTATTTATTAGCCTTATTAAAAAATGTAACAGTGACAGTTAGTCGAATGAATGTACTTGGTCTCAAGTTGTTGCAGCAACTACTTCGCTATGTAATGATGCTGATATTCGCTGATATTTCCCCAAGGGGGGAAAAGCACTACAGGGCAAATGTATCTATTCTGGAATGCCATTCTGCCATTTTGCCATTCCGTTTTTTTTAGAAGCCGAGCTTAGCTGTATGTAGATCAAGATTTAGACCAAAACCGAAAAAATTTCTATTATTCCAGAAAAACTGCCGATGCTTTTAAAAGGTACTTCGTTGTAATAAAACTAAGTGTTACAATCTTGGAGAAGTACTTGTAAAAGTTCATGGCAAGTAAGTGGTTTTGAAAATGTTTGCTCATTTTTACTATGCACTTAACGAGCAGTCAAGTAGAGACCTGCACGGGTTAAGAAAACGTAACCCAAACTAAAAACCCGATAATAATAACCGCATTTCACGTGAGTGACCTTTTGCTAATAGTCTGCTAATATTCCAGAGAATCTGAACGTTATATCTTTCTAAATTCTCAGTATCATCTTTAATAAAAGGGAAATGTTATCATTGAAAATTGTGCAATTTGGAAAAACATTGTTTTCCTTCAGGAAGTTCAATGGCAAGCGAATTTAGGAAAATATAGCGCTCAAATTTTCTGTAATATTAGCAGACTATTAGCGAAAGTACAAAAGATAATTTCACTTCTTAATTCTTTGTTCTGACTGGGTTACAGAATTATTACTGTTACTACACACAGTGTTCCTTTAGAACAAAAAAAATTCATAGCTTTTGAAAGAACTGATATGGATCCTCCTTTGAGGGTTTTTATCTCCTCATTTTCCTCTATTAACTGGCATAATATCATTAAAAACGGAGTTGGACATCTGAAGACCTTACCTCGCTAGCGAATGCAGTTGTTCTGAAATTAGTGTTTCAACTGAAAATTCCAGTAGAGTTAACTTTTCAACGAGTAATACAAAATTGAAATTATTATCTATATTTCAAATTGCGCTGCACAATGTTCAACCCGAACCCGATCCTAGAGTCGGGTCGGGTTGCAGGTCTCTACAGTCAAGTCAGTCCTCTGTCACGACGTCTGGCTCTATTGGGTAAGAAGTGTCTTATATTCGTTTTAGCAAGATTTGCATACTTTTATCTTGCAACGACACAGTGCATAAAGCAAAAATATAGCGCACACCTATTCCACATCATAGAGCATCCTTGTCTGACATGATCCTTTCTTCTCGATGTTGGAGAGCCGATAGTTTATGTTTTCTGGCTTGAACGGACAAGAAGGCTGACATCTTTTCAGTAGTTCTTCTCGTTATAGAAAAATTATGCATTATGTCGTGTCTCGACAAAAATAAAATTTTTTATTTGTAATAGGCTGATAAACTCTGTGTGTATGGTGTTGACGTTTGCTATATGCTGTATAAACTATATTAAAATAAGACAATAACTGGTTGTTTAACCTTGAGAGAAAGATCTATTTGGTAACAAGGAATCTAACTGTTGACAAAATGGGCAATTTCACAAGGGGGAAAGGTGACTTTTTTCTTTCTTAGCATCGGATGGTGAGCATTGCAAGCTTCGGAAACCTCCTAGAGCCGCCTTTCCCCTCTTAGATTTTCATCTGCATTAGTCGAATCTTTGATTTGTCAGAAACGTTGTTCAATGATAAAATTATTTCATGTATTCACTTATTTGTCCGTGAACGATTACGTCATATATATCAAATGTATACTTCTAATTTTTTTGTGTACGTGGTCGGCATTGTTTTTTCTGCTAAGGAAAAAAAATTTCTATATTCTCGTTAATAAAGTAGAGAAACTTGAGTCAATTCTGATGAGTGCATAAAATCTTTGTGGTATTTTTGTTTTCGATTGCGATGAGTCCAGTTTCACCGACAAAACTAATACAAAAACAATAATTGTACAAAGTCTAATGGAACTTTCATACAAGAAACAAGGTGATGCAGATGTAAAATCTTATTCTGTATTATTTTGTTACAATAGAAGCAAAAAGGGTGGATGAAAGAAAAGCATTTTTATGTGTGGTTCAAGAATTTGTTCATACATCAAACGGTACTCGAACAACTTGCTGCGGAAATTAAACGAAAGAAAAAAAGTAATCACTAATTATGGTCAGTTCAAATTTATGTGTGCTAATTGTGCAAGATACAACTACGTTTATCCTTATTATTGTATACTTTGTACAGCACAACTAGCAAGTAGCTTTTTAGACATGATTACTAATAGAAATTTTCAAAACTGTCATCAATTGAAATAATTTTCTGATTTAAGTAAATAACTGAATTATACAATATTTCCACTTGAAATGTTATTGTTTTAACAAATATTATAGAGTCACCGATTGCATTCATAAATAGAAACATGACCTTATAAACTATTACTTTTTAAAAAACTAAAAGGTAAAAGCTAAAAAGAACATTTTGTAGAGCATACATTGATGTTTATAAATATTAATATTCTCTTTTCCGTCAACTTTCACATCAATAGAAAGGAGTAAATCGAACAACTGTCTCACTTAGAATACAGCAAAAAACGACTTCTGAAAGTTTATGGAGATCATTTTTTGTATTTTTGGTTTGTTTTACACGCAGTAATCGGAATTACCTCAATAGATTCGGAAGTGAGATCGCATTTATCTCAAAAGAAATTTTTTCAGAAAACGATTGTTTTTCGTTTTATGTAATTTTTCGTCGATTAATTAAAGAAAGGCGATCTCAATTTGTTAAATACATGGTTGAAAGTGTTCAGAATTCTCTACAAGGTGAGCTAGTTGTTAATTAGAAAAGTGAATGTCCACCGTTGAGCAAAAGTTGTTTTACTTTGCATCCACAATTTTGGTAGCGTTGATCGAAATTCCTATAGCGAGGCACGTGTACTGACCGTAATTACGCCAAGTGCGGGTAATTTCCATCAGTCGTCGACATATCGATGGAAAACTCATTAACCTTGATGATTCTTGAGGAAACTTCTATCTGAATCGATAGTCAAGAGTCACATCTATCCGCCTGTGCAATAGCACTTTTTCTCTTCTAAAATAGCTTGATGTCATCAAAAATGCTATAAAGATTTCAAGTATTGATCGGAATTACTGCATCTTACTCTAGATCAATAATTAAAATATGAGGAATTACGATGATTTCTGAAAAAACCGGTCTTCTGATTTTTGCTATATGTTTCTTTCAGCTTTCGATTGAGTTCATTTGATCTCTAGGTCTCTGAAGTGAATAAAATTGCCACCGTTTCTTTCGCAAGTATCCGTGATGATAGTAAGGTATCTATAGTAACAAGAAGAAAATCAAATTTTTCAGTCATATAACCATACCTCAAAGAACAGTATGTTCCAAACAATGAAGAAAGGCAGGTTGGAAGATCAA